CGTTAATGCAATACATGATTTAGTGCATTAGTAGCACTTTCATTAAGTATGTTGTTTCTTAGGAACAGGTATTATTTGTAATGCACAATACTTGGCTAAACACAGCATACATCAAGTTTCAATACCTGTAGGTAACGGTTGCTTTTGTAAAGGTCTTCAGCAAGGCAATGCAGGTTTTTCTTGCTGAGGTCCAACGTGTTATTTGAAGCTTTGTTGAAATAAGAACCTAATCCTTGCACTGGGACCTTCATCGTCAGTGCTTGCTTTCTAGTAACTTCACTTGCCGAATTGTTCTTCAAAAAGCAGCCGGATCCCTTTTCATCCATTACTTTAACAATGTCTGTGAAAAATCGTGAAAAGTAAACTACTTTTAAAGACTTATCTGTGAATTATATACAATATAAACCCTCAACATCCAGACATATGGGAGACGGCATCAAATGGAGTTGGAGGATTGAAGTGATGGACTCAATGAGAGACCACAACTGGGAGCAGAGTTGATGGAGCTCTAGCAGAAAGTGGGGTGTCTGTGCCAGCAACGATTTTCCCTCAACAAATCTGCCCCTCGCTCCCCTATCTTCCTTTTTATACCACTTTAATTACTTTCCTTTATCTTCTTATTCCCCCCACCCCCCATTTTTGTTTTCTAATTTTTCCCTTCTTTTCCCCTCCTATGGCACTGCAACTTCCTCTATGTCCTGTGCTGATTAGCATCTGATCCATACACAGTGTTATATCATGTTATACACATAATAAAATGCATCATGGCAGCCTACATAAAAACATGAGATGTACTGGATACCGCACTCACCAAATAGCTTGATAAAAACCTGGTAGGGCCGAAACGTTACCGCTTTTGCCCAAATAAAGCTGCTATTTCTGTTATCCTGAAATGCCTGAACCGTTATTCATTCTACATAAAAAAATTGACTCCAGTTATCGCTGTACTTGCAGAGATAACATATCTCTGCATATATATTGTTTAATTGTTCATTCCTCACAATATTTCAGTATTGTTTTATTGAATATAAGTCATCACATGCCATTATAAACAACTCTAGCAGGTATATAGAATCTCTTCTTGCAGTGAGTTTAACATAATCAAAGTTTGTTCTTAGACAAGCGAATCAGCCTATGATTAAGAGCTACAAGGACAAAACATTAATACAGCAACAACCTCCCAAGACTAAGCTGAGATGTTTAACTTAAATATATAATACACCTCAATCAATTTAACTTGCAACTTATTTTAAAATCATAGGCTGCTCTATGATTTATTTAGAACGAGTGACAACCACAACACTGTATACTCAAGGCTTCATATATATCTCTGCACTGCTCACTTTAGAGCAGAGTTATCTGTCTGACACTTCAGGAAGTGTGGACTACAACTCCCTTGATGCTTACCTGTGTGAGATGAAGGATTAAGTTTACGAACTACACAATAAATTATTTTACCATATATTTGTAAGTGGTTATGATTTAATTTGTCAAAGGACCAAGAATGATAATAGCATATGATAAATGTTGTATATACTGTAAATGCAATGTAGATAATTTATACAAAATTATGTATTGCTGTTTTTGAAAATTTTACTGAAAATATATACTTCTACTTCTATAAACAGATAGTGTTTTGTTTTTCTAAAATTAATCTTTTTTCCTTTTCCCCATGACACAACACATGATATCCTGACAAAGAATATGTTGGACATTGATACATTATAGAAGAGTATCAGAGGTCCCACCATTGAAATGACTGGTGAAAATATACACACACCGAGCCCACTCCAATCATGCATACTTATAGCCCAAAGTCTTAGCAGATATTTCATTTCAGACCTTCAGAGGCAGAAAGATTGTTTGGTCTCGTTTTACTATCTATATACTCTCCCTGTTTTTATCTGTTTGCCTCAAACTGTCCTTATAAGATGAAACTGGTCTGCCCTCCAGGCAAATATAATCATGTATATTGTGAGGTGAGTGTTACAGATTCCTTGCATTTGGCCCCCTTTAGCAGATGTGTATTATTACATCAGCATTGCATAAGACCCAAGTTATAAAACGAGCAAAGCTATTGTTAATAGAATGCATTGTGAGGTAAATGTATGATGTTAGACACAGGAGCCTATTGGATGGATGGGTGGATACTTCAAACAGACAAATATTCAGATTGCAATATATTATATGCTCAAAATTAATAAAACTGTTGTTTTTAAAAAAAATTTTTTTATTAATTTTAGCCTTTTCATTATGCTGTCCTTTTCATATAATATTAAACATTAATGTAACAGTAAATGGATAGAAATGTGTGGTCACTGCTCAAATTCCAGAAACTCATCTACTTACCCCGATATAAACAATGCTCAGCATTGTCAGAACTTAAGTGGAAACTTCACAATACAAATTGCCAAAACCATGAATGTATAACAGCTATCAATAAGACATATAAACACATTACAAAGTACTTCAACATTCAACTATTGTGTACATGTAACATAATTAATTATGTCTATTAACCGTCACGCGCATATTTAATTTTGTATCACCTGTAGGCTCTACATTGTAAATAAAATGAATAATAATTATAATTTAAAGTAATTTTGCAAGTATTTCTTCAACCTCAATACAGAAGCCATTATTTTGAGGTACAAAAGAGTTCACACTACCGTGTTTCCCCGAAAATAAACCCTACCCCGAAAATAAGCCCTAGTCGGATTTTCGGGGTGGGCTGCAATATAAGCCCTACCCCGAAAATAAGACCTAGGCATTGTACCTTTGCGGCAAGACTTCCTTCTTCTGCTGTAGGAGGAGCGTCGCGCAACGTGATGACGACATTTTGCAGCGCCGTCAGTCTGCCTTCACGGATCTTCAGCGGAAGGATCCATTTCCGGGCGGTGAGGCTCCCAGTGGTCGGACTCGGCAAGGAATCTTTGAAATGTGAGTACCGCTAGATATTTTGTGTCTGGGATTAATTGAATTAATTAAAGGGGGTGGGGTGGGTGAATTAATTAAAGGGTGGGCTGGATTAATTAGAGGGGGGTGAATTAATTAAAGGGTGGGCTGGATTAATTAGAGGGGGGTGAATTAATTAAAGGGGGTGAATTAATTAAAGGGTGGGCTGGATTAATTAGAGGGGGGTGAATTAATTAAAGGGGTGGTGAATTAATTAAAGGGTGGGC